GGGTCCTCAATCTGGGGGAAAGTGTTTCTTTTAGGTAAAAGATATTTCTTTGAAATGGCCTACAGGCGTTTTCTTCTGCAAAGAACAGCATTGTATCCATTAGAGTTTTTGGAAATATATGGGAATATGTATATATTCTTCAAAACAAGCTGTTTTCGAACAATGATTAATGCTGAAAACGTCTGTATAATTCTTGTTATACTAATTACTGATTACGCTTCCAACGTAAATATATATATTCAAAATGGAATTTTTTATAAAGGCATGCAATGTGAAATCTTACTTGATTGCTTTTAATAAAAATATATGATAACCACTAGGTAAGTGAGTTTAGTTTTACGCCCATATTGGGGTGGGGTTAAGAGTACAGTTTGAAAGTACAATGACTAAAGTAGTACAATTCTCAAGATATTTCATACTAAATATAGGTAAATATTTTAGATAAGATAAAAATAATTGTAAATTATACAGATGATAATGATGATTTTGATTGTGATGCTTCAAATCCACCATTACAAATGAAAACAACCACAACAAAAATCGTAAAATATATGATATGAAAAAGGTCGCTCTTCTCATCCGTAGCTCAGTTCATGACCGACGTCATCGCGGAGACGCACCCACGCTGCCCAGATCGTCATAAGCAACGCTTTAGTACTGCTCCTCGCAGGCTTTGTTGAACCCCTTCCTCACTAGTGTTTATCTTTATAGTGATCATCAACGCTCAGCAGAAAGTGTCAGACACTCAGTGTAGTTTGACAACTTCGAAATTTCTCCGCGAAGTTAACGGCTAGGTGGCCATCAGGCTAGCTTTATCGCTACACTTAGCCTAATGGGGACGAGGACTCGCTTCAAAGCTGAAGAATATCCCCAGTGTGAAGCTGAGACATTGTCTGTAAACTTTCCCTCTGTGACTTGAGACATTATCTCTGTGTAAATATCCCCAGTGTGAAGCTGAGACATTATCTCTGTGTAAATATCCCCAGTGTGAAGCTGAGGCATTGTCTGTGTGTAAATATCCCCAGTGTGAAGCTGAGACATTATCTCTGTGTAAATATTCCCAGTGTGAAGCTGAGACATTGTCTGTAAACTTTCCCTGTGAAGTGAATTGAGACATTATCTCTGTGTAAATATCCCCAGTGTGAAGCTGAGACATTATCTCTGTGTAAATATCCCCAGTGTAAAGCTGAGGTATTGTCTGTGTGTAAATATCCCCAGTGTGAAGCTGAGACATTGTGTGTAAACTTTCCCTCTGTGACTTGAGACATTATCTCTGTGTAAATATCCCCAGTGTGAAGCTGAGGCATTGTCTGTGTGTAAATATTCCCAGTGTGAAGCTGAGACATTGTGTGTGAACATTCCCCTGTGCCAAGTTAAGGCATTGTGTGTGTGTAAACATTCCACTGTGATATTGTCTGTGTGTAGGTGTTCCTCTGTGTGGTGCTTGGACTTTGTCTACACAGATCTATTCTTAACAGAGATGCTGCTGATATGTTGTTATGCCTGTTTGTTTTTTGTGTGTGTTTGTTTTTTGTGTGTGTGTTTTGTTTGTTTGTTTTGTGTGTGTGTGTGTGTGTGTGTGTGTGTGTGTGTGTGTGTGTGTGTGTGTGTGTGTGTGTGTGATCCATGCGGCAGTTTTGGAATTGATTTAGCACTGTCTCACAGTACGCTGAAACTGAGCCAAGTTGTCCTTGTTTTATCCTCTAAATGCCGAGCGAGACAGGGTAACAACAAGGACCCTCGATCTTCTTCCCTTGTTTGCTCATGTTTGCTTAAATACTGACTTGCATACGTGTTTACTGCCTAGTTGTGTTATACTGGAAATACAGGCTGTGGATGTTATATACATCATCATCAAACTGGGTCCTCAATCTGGGGGAAAGTGTTTCTTTTAGGTAAAAGATATTTCTTTGAAATAGCCTACAGGCGTTTTCTTCTGCAATGAACAGCATTGTATCCATTAGAGCTTTTGGAAATATATTGGAATATGTATATATTCTTCAAAACAAGCTGTTTTCGAACAATGATTAATGCTGAAAACGTCTGTACTGATTACGTTTCCAACGTAAATATATATATTCAAAATGGAAAAAAAATTAAAGGCATGCAATGTGAAATCTTACTTGATTGCTTTTATTAAAAATATATGATAACCACTAGGTAAGTGAGGTTAGTTTTACGCCCATATTGGGGTGGGGTTAAGAGTACAGTTTGAATGTACAATGACTAAAGCAGCACAATTCTCATGATATTTCATACTAAATATAGGTAAATATTTTAGATAAGATAAAAATAATTGTAAATTATACAGATGATAATGATGATTTTGATTGTGATGCTTCAAATCCACTATTACAAATGAAAACAACCACAACAAAAATCGTAAAAATATATGATATGAAAAAGGTCGCCTCTTCTCATCCGTAGCTCAGTTCATGACCGACGTCATCGCGGAGACGCACCCACGCTGCCCAGATCGTCATAAGAATGCTTTAGTACTGCTCCTCGCAGGCTTTGTTGAACCCCTTCCTCACTAGTGTTTATCTTTATAGTGATCATCAACGCTCAGCAGAAAAGTGTCAGACACTCAGTGTAGTTTGACAACTTCGAAATTTCTCCGCGAAGTTAACGGCTAGGTGGCCATCAGGCTAGCTTTATCGCTACACTTAGCCTAATGGGGACGAGGACTCGCTTCAAAGCTGAAGACTGCGGAAGGCAGATGGTCCCGCCAAAATAATTCTTTTATGAGTGGAACCACCGAATATAATTGATGAACCCACTCTGGCAAATATTTTGGGTGTTTCATTACCCTGTAGCGTGTCGAGGTCTAATGGCAGCAGTGAGATAACTAACACTAATGTCTATTGGACTAGTTGACTTTGGTATATCTCTCTAATTGCCACCGTCGCACATGTGTTACTAAGCATGGCCTATTCGGGGCAGTCAGACTGTAACGACTCTTAATTAAATCAACTAGTCCGTTGAGGGTTGAGCTTGTATTAGTGGAAAAGAATATATTAGTTTAACGGTAATTACAAAGATAGGGCTTGCAAGTAAGAGATTGTAACGAAAGGGGATTGGAGACTTCGTAATTTGCCAGTGTCTGATAAATGATCCCTTAGGACAGTGTAATAGTCGTGGAACCGGTCTAACGCAGGCCAGATAGAAAAGCATTTAATATTCCATTTGTGGGCCAGCTTGAATGGGCTTTTGTTCACAATTTACAAGATTAATCACTTGAGAGAAACTGTGTCGTTTTTAGTTGTACAAAGTGAATTCGGGGAAACCTTGCTTGCACCGTTTAGTCGGGCATGGAGCGTTTGGCCCAGCTAACGAAAAGGCCATGCGCACTAGTTAAATAATAAAAGGGAGCGTAAAAACGACAATTGTAACATAAAAATATGAAATTGAATTATTTTTGCAAATAACGACTTCAGAACTGAATGCGGACATCGATCAGTTGGTAATGGGATAAGTTCGATCATAAGAGTTCACGTTTTGCGGTCCCAAGATCCCAATTTTAGATGGGTTCAAACGCAAATTGAACGATAATATCAAAGACAGACAGGGTAATATTTGTAATTAATTCATAACACAATAGCGTCCTGGATATATCGAACCCCAAGGCTTTCTTATTTAACAAAAGGAAAGTTAATAAATGGTAATTTCATTAAGTAATTGGGCATGTCCCAAACAAGAAGAATATCAGGTTAGAGTCTGCGCCATGTTTGCTTTGTGTATCAGTGTTCGGGAAAATGAGTACTAAACTTGTTGGTCATGTTTGTTTTTATTGGTAAGAATAGTTTCTGTTCGTATATGTCATGTTATGCTGATGTTTGGGGATACACAGAAAGGGAAGATGCTGGATCAATACTATAGAGGGTTTGCTTAATATGGTCAAGGAATCGGGGAAGATCCAGGGTGTTTCAATGTAAACAGTCATCGGATCATATCAGGCAGTAGAAAATAGAACAAATCATGGTATATGTTTTTTAGCTATTTGATATAAAATATTTACATTTATTTTCAGATGTGATATCTGTTTTGCCCATAATCCACGTGATATGGCATTGTGTATGGATTAGGTAAAGTTGTAATTTTGTCACGAAGGTATGTATCGTATGACAAGCATGTATGTTTTGGATGCATGGAATTGTTTTAATGAGACATTATATCATGAGCGTCTTTTACAACTGTACTTACAATTAACGGATGTGATTATTGTACATCTGAAATACACATTCTTACGATATTTCGTTACAAAATGCAAGAAAATACTCTTTTGATATCCCTTGTGTCTGCCTAGTAACCTTCAAAGTTACATTAAACTACCAAGCAAAAGAAATATTACTCTTGAAAATTGGATTTGAGCAAAAAAAGTTAGAAACGACATCACATCGTTACTAGACTGCAACACTTCTCAGATGCACGACAAAGCTAAGTTTCAAAGCAAAACTAAGATACCTACATGAATACATCTCCACTGCATAACCATTTATGTTCAGAAATGGGTGCATACCTTTTGCCCAGCAGGGGCGGTGGGGTAGCCTAGTGGTTAAAGCGTTCGCTCATCACGCCGAAGGCCCGGGTTCGATTCCTCACATGGGTACAATGTGTGAAGCCCATTTCTGGTGTCCCCCGCCGTGATATTGCTGGAATATTGCTAAAACCGGCGTAAAACCGTACTCAGTCAGTCAGTTTTTGCCCAGCAACTTATATATAAAATATTGAAGAGCTTTGAGTATGTACACCTCCCTGAGTTTACCTGCCAAACAATATGTGATCGATGGTCGTTGTGGTCAACTGCATCTCTAACACTGGCCATTAACATATCCTTTTATCAACGACAAACATAGAAAAGGGGAAAATCTGGGATTCGAACCCAGGACCACGGTAACGATTAAGTGACAGTGGTTTCCTAGCCTTAACACCGTTGTCAAAATATGCACATGTATGTATGAAGCTTATGTTTGTTGAAGCAGAGACAACAAACTTGCAAATCAAGTGAATAAAACTTTATTGACAAAACTTTATAATACATCTATACACGTATGTGCATCTTCGGGTTATCCCAAATAAATTATTTCTGTATATAAGATAAGTTTTTCGTCGGAACATATTCCCCATATTGGAGGTTAAATTACTCATTTCAAACTTGTATATGAAACTTAAAATTATTACTTCCGTCATCATTGAACTCGGATAATATTATTGTTATATAAATTTATGATATATGAAATATGTAAGGGTACAATTATGCCCTTACTTGCATACCACATACACTATGTGTACGAATAACACAAGTAAATAGAATTGGGAATTTTTTGGTTATGTAATCGATGAAGATAGATGGTAATAAAAATGTATACAAATGAAATCTTAACTAATGACGTAAAAAATGTTAACAAAAATATAGGATAATAACATCCGTGTGAGCGATGCTGTGAAGAAAAGGACCAACGTCCAGCAGCAGAATCCATCGATGAGGGTGAAGACAATCGTTGTGAATAAGGAGGAATTCCCTTCGCCTTCAGTCTACAGCTAATAAATCATATGTCAAAATCTTCTATACATATCGCAGTATATACACAGTTTTATACAAACAAATATCCATGATTGCATGAACGTCAAACAAGTAAGCCTTCAACATCACAATGTTCACTACCCCTCCCTGGGGCTATGTATGGGAGTCCTCCAGACTCCGCTCTACTGACGGGGGTACCAGTCGGAATGAGGGGTTGGGAGGGGGCACACACAGGGGCGGGTACATCTGACTCCCCTCCTCAGATCGGAGACTCATGAGGAACTTCTGAGCTGCCTGGCGTTCTATTTCCCGCTCCTCAGCAGTCTGGCGTCTGTGGACGGAGACAGAACACTGAATAGAACCATGTTATGAAGAGGGTTTACATAATTGCCATGAATATATTCGATTTCAAATAGCTTTGTTTACACCGGGGATGAAGTTTCTAGATAATAACACCCTAACATATATTCAATGCAGTTGATTACATCCAATAAGGGGCGGTGGGGTATCCTAGTGGTTAAAGCGTTCGCTCGTCACGCCGAAGACTCGAGTTCGATTCCCCATATGGGTACAATATGTGAAGCCCATTTCTGGTGTCCCTCGCCTTGATATGCTGGAATATTGCTAAAAGCGGCGTAAAACTATTATCATTCACTCACATCAAATACACTCGCACTGTGGCCGAGTCGTTATGGTCAAGCATAATTTCTTGTTTATATTTTTTATCACTTGCATTTTCATTTTTACATTTTCATGTAACTGAAACAGAAGTAAGGAAAACTATGCTAAATAAGTTCTTATTTACATATTAACTTCTTATTAACTCAGAAATGCAGATTGAAAACAAACTCTTTCATTTGGATGTATTACCTTCAACTTAGAGCATTTACTTGCTTGTACGTGTTTTAATGTTTTCACGCATCATGTAAACGATTATTTGACTCGAGATTAGATGACGTATTTGATTTATACCTTTTCATAAATATTATATAATTATATATGTACTGTATAGGTAACCTGTCAAGCGTTTAATTAATCGAACATGTTAACCTATCATTCTAAGTCAAACTATAAGTAGTTGTCAAGACAATAACATCAGGTGAGTAGCAACTAATCGTAAGTAGTTGTTGAGACGATAGGCTATTGTTTGGTCGTTGCTATCCTTGCAGTCGTATAGTCTTCCTCACTATATCTCCAAGTAGATACATGTAACCCTCTTGATAAGAGTAACAATAATGCTTCATATATCGAATAATGTGTAACATATATTTTCAATACCCTACTGAGTGCATTAGGAGAAAAACAATTAAATGAGTTCCATGCTCTTAGGCACTTTAAAATGTTCTGCTGCACTTCAAGACTATTACTGATTTGATGTATTGCAGTGCCAGTAATCTAGATCGTGATCTATGTGTATATATCTAAAAAGGTGAGACATTATTCCGGCAAAGTGTAGGATCGTTGTTTGAAACGTCAAAGTATTGAAGAAGTTTTGAAGTTCTAGGAGCAAAAACAAACCCGCCTTTAGGCCCCAGGATATTTCTCCACGAACGTCTTAACATCGCAATATTGGAATCGAAGAGAAAACTCCAACCGTGTTTGTTTAGCTGATCCAGCGTGATGAGTGTGATCATTCATGGTGCAGATCATTGTCATCATCATCATTATTATCATCAGCACTATAATCATAAGGTAACAATAATTCACGCCCGTAGTAAGGAAGATCGTCTTTGATATGGAGTAATATTATTACTTATAGATGAAAGAAAAACTACTACTACTACTACTACAAAAACTAAAAATTATTATTATATTATACTTACTACTACTACTATATATTATTATTACATTATACTTACTACTACTACATATATTATTATTATATTATACTTACTACTACTACATATATTATTATTATATTATACTTACTACTACTACTATATATTATTATTATATTATACTTACTACTACTACTAATATATATTATTATATTATACTTACTACTACTACTATATTATTTATATTATACTTACTACTACTACTATATATTATTATTATATTATACTTACTACTACTACTATATATTATTATTATATTATACTTACTACTACTACTATATATTATTATTATATTACTCTTACTACTACTACTATATATTATTATTATATTATTATTATACTTACACATGTGTTTATATCATTAATACTGTGATGATGATGATCATCATCATCATTATTTTTGTTACTACTACTACTACTACTACTACTACTACTACTACTACTACTACTACTACTCCTGCTACCAGCACAACTGATATTGTTATTAATGTACCAGAACGTCATAAATGTTATTATACTTACATAGTTGTGTATATAATTATTATTGTGATAAATGAGAAGTCACGAGGTTTACATCTGAACCTTTTCCGACTGGGTTATGACGACAGTTAATACATCCCATCGTAACTATTCAATGATACCCTGAAGTTGATGCTGAAGGTCATTCAGTGATACCCTGAAGTTGATGCTGAAGAAGTTATTCAATGATACCCTGAAGTTGATGCTGAAGAAGTTATTCAATGATACCCTGAAGTTGATACTGAAGAAGTTATTCAATGATACCCTGAAGTTGATGCTGAAGAAGTTATTCAATGATACCCTGAAGTTGATGCTGAAGAAGTTATTCAATGATACCCTGAAGTTGATGCTGAAGAAGTTATTAAATGATACCCCGAAGTTGATGCTGAAGAAGTTATTCAATGATACCCTGAAGTTGATGCTGAAGAAGTTATTCAATGATACCCTGAAGTTGATGCTGAAGAGGTCATTCGGTGATACCCTGAAGTTGATGCTGAAGAAGTGAGGTGAGGTGAAATTGGGTTTAACGTCGTGCTTGAGAATATTTCACTCATATGACGACGGGCATGCGTGTGTATGTGTATGTGCGGCTGCTTGTACTAGCCCAGACTGAAGCTGGTTTTATAGTGCTAGCCCACTGAGATACCATGCCGCAGTGAAGCATGAATACCCCACTCAGACACATTATACTGACTCCGAGCCGAACAGTCCTTGTTGTACCCATTAATGCCGAGCGCCAGGCAGGGACCAACAAGTACCATATTTTAACGTCTTTTGGTATGATGCGGTCGGGGATCGAACCCGCGACCTTCTGCTCTCCGGGCGGACGCTCTAACCACTACACCACGGAGGCGGTCGCTGAAGAAGTTATTCAATGATACCCTGAAGTTGATGCTGAAGAAGTTATTCAATGATACCCTGAAGTTGATGCTGAAGAAGTTATTCAATGATACCCTGAAGTTGATGCTGAAGAAGTTATTCAATGATACCCTGAAGTTGATACTGAAGAAGTTATTAAATGATACCCTGAAGTTGATGCTGAAGAAGTTATTCAATGATACCCTGAAGTTGATGCTGAAGAAGTTATTCAATGATACCCTGAAGTTGATGCTGAAGAAGTTATTCAATGATACCCTGAAGTTGATGCTGAAGAAGTTATTCAATGATACCCTGAAGTTCATACTGAAGAGGTTCTTCAGGCAACTGTGTGAGATATTTCTGGCGAGTTGGTTTTGGGTTGTATGTGCCTTCAGTAGTGTGTTAGTGTGTGAGTGAGTTTAGTTTTACGCCGCTTTTAGCAATCAGTAGTGTGTTAACGACAAGCGGTGTCATAATGTACTGACGGTAACGTTAAACAATGTCAGACCCATTTTATTAGTACCAATCTAGAGAAGATGGTATTCCCTTCGGTACTTGGTTTGTATGTTGTTTAACACCGCACTCACTAATAGTGAGTGAGTGATTTGAGTTTTTCGCTGCACTCAGCAGTATTCCAGCTATATGGCAGCGGTCTGTAAATAATCGAGTCTGGACCAGACAATCCAGTGATCAACAGCATGAGCATCGATCTGCGCAATTCGGAACCGATGACATGTATCAACCAAGTCAACGAGCCTGACCACCTGATCCCGTTAGTCGCCTCTTACGACAAGCATGGGTTACTGAAGGCCAATATTCTAACCCGGACCTTCACGGGTCACACTCTCTAATATGTCAGGCATGTAATCGAGTCCAGACAAGACAATCCAGTGATTAACATCATGAGCACCGATCTATACAATGATGATATGCATGAACTGAGTCAGCGAGCAAGAACCCCGTGATCCGTTAGACACCTCTCATTAAAACATTGGTTCGTGAAGACTGGTAAGCCTGGACTTCTCTTTCCGTTACCTCCGTTACCTCTACAGGTTCCCGTATTTGAGCCGCAATAACTAAACGCCACTTAAATATATTAAACTGTCTGGCAAAAGCGCAAAGTAATGAATAAACTATCACCGATCTTGAAATGATTCTAAAGGTATAAAATTTCTATCAATGATCACAGAACGACAACTCGCTAAAGTAGATTTTCTGTATCATATTTCCATCACTTCGAAATTAACAGAGCTTAAATCAGGTTAATATTGTTAACAATTAGCTGTGTACTATCAACTTACACTTCCTAATTTCACATCCCAACTTGTAGCTCCTGTGGGAAGAGTCCCGGGGGGGCTTGTTTAACGTATTGATTTAAATTGTCGACGAACATTAAAACCAGTCTCTGCTGAACAAGGACCGGTCGACTTGAACAATCTATCAGTTCGTTCATAATTCAACTAACACGGCGAAGATATGTCATCTGCAAAATTGTTTTGGTAAATTATCCGATTTATGATAGTTTTGCCTTGAGGATGACAAATGCCACTTGAAAATGACTTGACTGGTTGTACCACGGGGATTACGAACAAATCCCAACTACATATTCCTGCCGAGAGATTGTGAATTATATTATCATAATTGTTTTAGATTGCAATGCGTCAGCTCTTCGTGGTTATTTATATTCAAATCGATATTTTTGTTGGTAACGTAAGATTTACGATAAATTTAAATGTTAATCACACTTGTATTTAATATTGAGAAAGTTTTTAAGCATTAGCATGTTAAAGCTTTCCACTGTGAAATTTATAGATTTTGTGAAAGTGTCTGAATTGTGACAGGAGTCGTACAACATGTCTATAAGTTTTTACATAAAACAGAAAATAGCTTTATCTGAATTGTGCAGACTTGGTTATAATTACATGGACATGTGTTTTAACACATGATCGTTTTCACAATTATTTTTTTATCATAGTTATGTAGATTACTTCTATTTACTTATTTTTAAATTTAAATTTAAGACACAGTGAAAACTCGTTATTTAAATTACAGACACAGTGAAAACTCGTTATATTTTGTTTGGTAAGTTATTAATTGCAACGTGACGGCAGGTCGGTAACTCACCAGATCTATGGTGCTGTACGAAGATACAATAACATATACCGCTGTGGTCATGTTGCTGTTTCAGAACAATGTATTTCACGACAATATTGTACAATCTGTCAATTGTACTGGAGGGAAGCCATACAATCATGTGACACTTCTACACGATCACGAGTGAGCATTTAGTCCCATCATCACGATGTAATTAGAAACGTCTCGTATGCGGATCTTTATCACGAAAAATCGAAGTCTCACATTCGAAGAATCCGCACTTGAATTTCATTGGGACGATCGCGGATGGATATTTAAGCGCATGCAGAGCCCATAGGAGTAGTCTAAAATCAAATATGTGCAGTATAAGAGCATTATGGCAATAAATTTGTCTTGCAAATATCAAACGAAGTCGATAAATATTCATACATCAACAGTCTTATTTTTTTACAGTGTTTTTACACCCGACCATTCCCGAATACACCCGACCATTCCCGAATACACCCGACCATTCCCGAATACACCCGACTGCACCCGACCACTCCCGACTGCACCTGGCTACACCCGACAACATTCGACTACGACTGACAGGGATACGGGTATGAAATCCCCTGAGACAATGACGTCTCAGACTTAATGTATAATTATTCCTGTGGTGTCTTACATAGGTCTTCTATTTAGAATGACCAACGGCATTATGTTATTTGTACTGACACGCACAACACTTTAATTTCATTAGTCAGTGGTGAAGTTACTATGAAACTTCCCAAATCTAGGAAAATACCTAAACTTAAGGTTTATTGTATTTCTGTGATAATATTTTATGCTTATTGACTCCAGTTCGTGTAACATTCATGTCATTTTACTTGTAATGACATAAGGATATTTTTTATATTATTTGTCATGAGATTAAATAATACATTTTTGGATATGACAAATGTATAACCTTTATCTTTGAAATGTTAAGACAAATGAAACTTATACTTTGATATTATTAAATATATTATATCTAAATGTTGTATATGTCGTGGTGTGAACATATCAATACATCATCTGTATTTCATATTCTTGCGGTTTCTAACAATACATAATACCGAAGTGTTTTCTTTCCATCACTACTTCTGTTCCGTATGTTAGAGAAATTATGATCGAGATCGATAACAATCAATGCACCTATTGTTCGAAAACGCAAATTTTATTGATAACTATTACTGATGAATGCCATGTTTCAATGAATAACTTTGTCACCGAATATGATATTGCATACACTGATTATACAGTGTAATAATGCGTGTGAAATGATAGGACTAAAATTCCCAAAAGAGTCTCTCTGAAATAGTTTTAAAGTTTCAAGATTGTGTAATTATTTCATTATCCTCAAGAAGACTGGTCCTCCTTTTACCACTGGCCCTAACTCAGGATAGTAAAAATATTTATAAAGTTCAAAGATTGTGTAATTATTTCATTATCCCCAAGAAGACTGGTCCTCCCTTTATCACTGGCCCTAACTCAGGATAGTAAAAATATTTATAAAGTTCAAAGATTGTGTAATTATTTCATTATCCTCAAGAAGACTGGTCCTCCCTTTACCACTGGCCCTAACTCAGGATAGTAAAAATATTTATAAAGTTCAAAGATTGTGTAATTATTTCATTATCCTCAAGAAGACTGTTTCTCTCTTATCACTGGCCCTAACTCAGGATAGTAAAAATATTTATAAAGTTCAAAGATTGTGTAATTATTTCATTATCCTCAAGAAGACTGGTTCTCTCTGATCACTGGCCCTAACTCAGGATAGTAAAAATATTTATAAAGTTCAAAGATTGTGTAATTATTTCATATTCCTCAAGAAGACTGGTTCTCTCTTATCACTGGCCCTAATTCAAGCTAATAGAACTGCACTGACCGCCATTTCGTCCTCCTGTTCTGGAACCACGTCTTCACCTGGGCATCGGTCATCTTCAGGGATTTGGCCAGACTGGACCTTTCAGCTGAAGCCAGGTACTTCTGTCGAGAAAACCTCTTCTCTAGTTCCATTACCTGTTGACGGGTGAAGGCTGTTCTGGGCTTTTTCCGCTTCGGGGGTGTACGATTTTGGTATGGATGACCCACCCGTCTGACCACTGTAATAAAATACAACTTGATAATAATTTGCCAAATCAAAATATGTTTTTTCCAGAATTTCATACAGCAATTATGAACACCTGATAACGCTATAAATACAATAAAATGATTAAACGCACAGCTGACAGCGAGTAGTATGACTGTCATAAACATGTATATATTAAATAATATATTATTTGGGTATCAAGAACGATTCATCAGTGTCCGTTAAAATGCATTTTGCCATTTATGACATAAACAGTTAATTTATTTCAACAATAATCTCGAAACTTTAACTGAGCTCACATTCAGTTGTACAACGTACAGCAGAAATTCTGTTTCAGTTCTTTGCTTGTTAGCCAAAGTTATTCTTTCATATTACCAAGTCATCAGTTCTGTCAAGCGTACATGGTTAGATTAAGAATGAGGTGCAATATCAACGGAGACTCAGTATTAACTGATTGCTCTTTTCCGTGAGGAAAAATGAAAAATTATTGATTTTCTGTCATTTCTACAGCAATAATAATCATCAAGTGATGTTCGTTGTAAATACAGATCTCGTGTCTTTGGAGAGACAGATAAGAACATGTTTCTTTAGGGAGAAAAAATAAACAATTTAAACAACTCCTATATGCGTACGAATAACGAATCCGGAACAAAAAGATCGTGTTTGAAGTGTCCTCTATTGTCGGTGCGTTTCTGTTTCTTCTCCGTGAGTGACAGCGAGACGCGTCTATGCATTCTTCAAGGAACTATTATAGATTTAAATCAATAATCTCAGGTTTATGGAGAAACGTTCATCAAATGAAATTAAGAACAGGGTTCAAGCATGAAACCAAAGTGTTGTGTCTGTACCCTTTTCGGTTAGAAAAGCCAAACATTGGAATGCGCTTAACGCTTTGAATAGTATTTGAATTATGGGATTTTAAAATTGAAATGATTTATCATTGATGTTTTGGTTTTTAATTCAATAAACATTTCAAAAATGAAAACAACAGTCTTTCCCGTGCCCTTATCTCGCTATAAGTGCATCAGTATGGCATGATATAAATGTTTCAACGCTTTGATAGATTTAATTTAACGGATATCTGTTTTTGTGGTAAATCAAAAGAATGTAACAAGACAAATGTTTCTTAGAAAACGGTTTGGTTTGGCAAAAATGCTTCATTTTCAAACAGAGTGATGGTTAAATGAATTTACACAATCGCTGTTGACGGGTCTGTAAGAGAGGGAAGTAAATAAACGCCGTTAAACGACAGGGCAGACAATGTCTGTCGCTAATTTCCTTAATAAGTACAACAATAGAATTTACACGTGACAGCCAGCCAGTTGTCGTTAGCTGGCACGTTTCTTCACAACACACAGAAACAGAAGAATAGAAAGAAATGGGAAATAGAGCTTTGTCTCTCACACTGCAGTGTAATGGTGTTAACACTTACTTTTCCCTATCTATACAACATACAGCACACATGCCTGTCAAGTGAAATATATCTGATTTAAAATTATGAGAAATTGTTTCTATTACTTCAGTTATTGAGATTTTCGCTACATACCTTGTCAATGAATAAAATTCAACTTAATAATGATAAAAAACATTATTTTGTGATATATTTATCTTTCAGCCTCTAATTTCCTAACTTAATTTTCATAATAAAAGTATTCTGAAAAATAAAACGCCATAAAAAGGTATATCTGATTTTCATGACAGATTCACAACTGTATTTGTTACTGGGAGAGAATACCCACTATAAGAAATACGTACACTGTCGTAGGCTATCCAGTCTTAGAGAAAACATACAGTGCAATACACTGACAATACCATATGCAGCATTCACAAATTAATACAATTATACATGAAATATAAAACTGACTTACTGCCATGTCTGTCTCGTTGTAAGCCTGACCAAGGACACATGTAGTTGTAAAGCTCGGGCCACACCGGTCTCCCAGATGGCGGACCATAAACCTCCACATGACTGCCTCCTGTTGTGTTTAACTTATTGTAAGAAAACACTACGTCCGAATGTGAGGCACTATCAGAAATGTCAGATTTTTTCTCCACATCGTCGCTATTTTTAACAAAGTTCGTTTCACTTCCCAAAATCCTCTCGACACTAAACGCTAGGTGTTTGGAGGATTTGCTTGATTCCATCCGTTTATCCGGTTCACAATTTGATGTCACCCGCCCGTCTGACTCTTCACCTTTGGAGGTAGAACTCTCAGAATCCGACATATCCGGACTGAGTACGTCAGAACGTTTTGAGTTTTCAACTAACATTATTCTCCCAGGCTACGAAAAAATCTATTTGGCAATGTCAAAAATCTCGGAGATGCCTTTTTTCGCCGGATCGTTCCCAGCTTCCAATAACAATCCAGACGCCGGGAGCGATTCCTGCCGTCCGTCTCTCAACTCCAGTCCGAAGATGTCCTCCCGTCCAAGCCAATTCAAGCGGGATATATTGTTCTAAACCAACGTTTAACTCCCAAATTTGCCTGATTGGCGCTATTAGCAGAGTTGAAGGATAGACGCTGATTACATCCCTTCGCCAAGGCCCCGCCTTTATGTAATCAAACAGAATGGGGGTTGGCAAGGGTTAGCATGTGTTTGCTTTTCAATTAAAGTAATCGATCGGTGCAAGCGACCTGCAATCGTATTAACAGCCCGTCTGGCAAATTATCCGAGGGAAAGTGCATTAAAAAGCTTTAAATTATTCGCCAATATTGTTGGTCATTTAGCCGTGTATTAATGAGGCATTTTTCGTCCGAGAATATTTTTAATAACCTCGGTTCTGAATGTCGCTTTCAAACAAGAACGAGATCCGAAAGGTTAGGAAAGAATGAAATAGGATTAGATTATGTATGTTGTACCCTTGTCGGACAAATGTATCTATGATGTTTTTTCCCTTTGTTATAGACCATTATAACTTGAGGCAATTGTTCAGTCAATACAAATCGAATTTCCTTGCTGGTTTGGAAGTGATTATACAACAATAAAGTTTAAATGTCGCTCATTTTCCGATCGTTGAAATTCACAATGATAACTGCCGTGGCTCTTTATCTCAATATCAGTTTCTGGCTGACGGACTGACTCTCCTCCCTGTCAGTTTCCATTCTGTCAAACACCAATTATTACATCCGTGAGGAAAATATTACAATATTTGATTTGATAAAAGCAAATAAAGTGGCGAACATTTTGAATGTATTCATTAGTTTGAGCGGCAACTTTCTTCTGATGTTACAGATCTCTGTAACATGTGCTCTTGCACAATACAGCTAGGTTTCACAGAGCGGCAAATGCGCATTTAAAATCCTTTAAGAAAATATTATTAAAGCAATAAAAATCGGAAAATAAACACAAAATATTTGAATTGTAATATTTAAAGTGTATAAAGTACACATCATAAAAGTTTTGCAATTAAAAAAAGTTACATTAAGAGGTATGTCGGCAAATGTTGGTCTGGCGTCTGAGTCATGGCTTGATGGAGGTATAGAAAGCCACCTTATATTCCTATTATTACGTTTTATTATAAACGTTTTTCATCTTTTTGTGCTGTTATGATAACATTTTAATTCTAAAATGTCATGTTATTGAATAAATAATGTGACAATTGGACAAGACGGGTTTAGTAATGGAGATACAAGTATCTTGAATTCAACAGAACAAGCACATAAAATATGAAACAAACAGAACATTCTTCCATCCCTTTAGTGCCGGCTATAATGAGCGGGTGCTTTCGTGTGCAAATAATGTCAACATTGTGCCAGGAGTAAAATATACTCACTACAGCTATATAAATATACAAAAAAACAAAACGTTGATGTAGGGTCGTGAAGATGCTTTGGAATGACGCTTACGGAATGACGCTTACGGAATGACGCTTACAACTGCATTGTCCGGTTTTTATCGCACCTGGAAAATCTCTTTTTCTGTATCACTGTGTGTGGGTGAGGGCAGTGGTTTGAATCCAACATGGTACACTTAGTCGCATGCTGACTGACTGAATGACAGGTTTCGCTAGAAGTTAGGGATCAAGCATTGTTGTTGCATTTATTTTTCACCAGATATATCATGACAGTAGTATTTCCGTGTGCCTATACCCCCGAGGGACTGGGCCCCGTTTCTCGAAGCGATCGTAGCGCTAAGGTGATCGTAACGCTAAGGTGATCGTAACGCCCATTATTAAACATACACGACCGACCAACGTAGTGCTAAGATCGTTTTGTAGAGACCGCCTCCGTGGTGTAGTGGTTAGAACGTCCGCCCGGAGATCCCCAACCGCGTCATACCAAAAGACGTTAAAATATGGTACTTGTTGGTCCCTGCCTGGCGTTCGGCATTAATAGGTACAACAAGGACTGGTCGGCTCGGAGTCAGTATTATATGTCTGAGTGGGGTATTCATGCTTCACTGCGGCGTGGTATCTCAGTGGGCTAGCACTATAAAACCAGCTTAAGTCTGGGGTAGTACAAGCAGCCGCACATACACATACACACGCATGCACGTCGTCATATGAGCGAAATATTCTCAAGTACGACGTTAAACCCAATTTCACCTCACCTCACCTCGTTTTGTGGAACGACGCCCTGGTATGTCGTGGGAGGTGAAACGGTCCAAACCCTCGGATTCAAACCCAGATCTGTGATAGTGAATAGCAACAACCTGGACAACTCGACCATCTGTTTCCTAAACCCTCGTATACATTGTTTCATAAATAAATAAATTTCACATATTCAGCATAATCAAAATGATACAAATTGATAACTCCCGTAGCAAATTTATTTTTATAGATATGAATCATTGACATTGTAAAATTGTATTTTTACAAGTCGACATTCGTATAATATCACAAATCCGCTTTCCCCAGTGCTTATTGGTTTTGCGCTTCTTTTAAATTGCACATCGGTATATGGTCCGTGGCGTGCCACTCTCATAATCCGTCAGAAACTTAACAGGCTCCGGAAAAAAATCGAATCAAGACGAAGCGGATTTCGATACATATTTAATTTCTGACTACTGGCAAGAGCTTGCGTGAACGCAGACGTCCCTGGAGACAAGTTAATTGCTTAGATGGAGAAATATCCTAGACAAAGGGGTATCGTTAAGGAAAATATATAGACTTTATTAGAATGCTCAGAGTTGCCATAACTGAAGTGCCTCACAAAACACAGCTGAACGTGTGAGGGTGGATGGGTTGACATTAGGTTCCTACACGAAAGTGGTTATATTAACTGTAGGTAAGTAGAATAAAATGTCAGAAGAAACAAACGCGATAAAACTGTAATAGCCCCCATCACGCCCAAGTACGCATCTATACAATAATCAGCACATAATTAAGTATAAAACTTTAACGCCAGAGAATAACCAGTCCGGATTATTTGAAGATTCCACTGGACGAAGACACACCCCGAAGAATAAGCACTGACATATAGAAGTGTGAATAGCCATGATCATATATCAGAGAATGTCAGAGTTACTGTGTGATAGTAATGCCAAGTAAATTCCATTGGACGAAAATTCACTCAACAGAATAAGCACTAACATAGAAGTGTGACTACCATGAGCATATATCAGAGAATGTCAGAGGTACCGTGTGACAGAAATGTCACGTAAATTCCATTGGACGAAAATTCATCCTATAGAACAGGCACTCCCACAAAACTGTTGAGAACCATGGTTATATATCATAGAATGCCAGAATTACAATGTCACGTAAATTCCATTGAACGAAGATTTATCCCACAGAAAAAGCACCAACATAGAAGTGTGAATAACCATGAGCATATATCTAAGAATGTCAGAGTTACCGTGTGATAGTAATGCCACGTAAATTCCATTGGACGAAGATTTATCCCACAGAATAAGCACCAACATTGAAGTGTGAATAACCATGAGCATATATCTAAGAATGTCAGAGTTACCGTGTGGTAGTAATGTCACGTAAATATAAACGTGTGAGTGAGTGAGTTGGTGAGTGAGTGGGTGAGTGAGTGAGTGAGTGAAGGAGACACCAGAGATGTGTTTCTCCTGCTGTATAGTACCTAAGTAAAGTGGTATGGAACAAAGAGACTCTGACCCGATTAATAATACGCGTTAATATGTAGCACTTAAAACAGGATCAACAATTTTCCTAAATACAATCATGCATATTCATATTGTTTACTTGTCACGCAATAAAGCGGGCTCATTGCTCTACTATGAGTGTCCCATTACATGGCGATATTTCCGTATTTAAATATCAGAGGACAGGGCCATGTGATATCTTTATATGAATAATATACATGTATCACTTGTGACATTTGTTCGTCACGCCGAAGACCCGGGTATGATTCCACCATATGACTGCAAGGTGTGATTTCTACCACAGTGGTATTGCTGGAATAGTGTTGAAGGCGGCGTAAAATTATATTAACTTTTCATTGGTGACCACATTTCGATTTTGCAGTCAACTGAAACAGCATTTCATCTAATTTGTTATGAAATATTCTAGGTACATGACTTCAGTAAATACTGGATTGTGATTGGTTAATTAAAATCATTCAGAGATATATAACGCCTTCAGATTTAAATCAAATTTAGAGATACTATATTTTCGTTATATACCTCTGATTTTCCAACATAGAATGTTTATCCCCTAAATATTAAAGGCTGGTAACAGCTTATAGTAGTTTAATGATTACAGGAGAAACGCGAATTTGAAATATCCCAAACCGGATGTTGTGCTCTTGTAAACTCTCTTCTATTCTGGTATTTTTGCTTTAAATCTGATGAAGCCGTTCATTATTTCAAGAATCGGTATAACGGTATTACAACCTACTTAGTGTGAAAGTAAGGGAGTCAGTTATAGCAATATTCCAGCCATATCACGGATGGTGTTTTCTTTTTGAAAACGGACATGTCTTTTGTACTTCTTAAGTTTAAATGAAATAAAGTTTTATCAGTTTAAAACATCGGTTTTAGATGTACAGATGACCCCATTTTTCTACAATGCCAAGGTAACGAATATGTTCACCTCATCTATTCCCCAGAGTTGGAAATCAAAGTAACAATTGATCAATCATTGTATTGCGCCGTATGGATTTATACCTCCTCTGTACCAATCTCTGTACAGGTCTGTATGACAAGAGGGATGATTTCGATTTTCGTAATCCTGAATTGCCCTCATGACGAACAAAGTGCCATCACCAAGCTTATGGGGCCAAGATTGCCCAGGAAGAGCATGAACATTCAATTCAAATGCAATTTGAACACATTATACTTACAGCTAAGCTTTTCATACATCACAATTAAAAGCCTGGTTAAGTCATTCCAGATATTTTGTGGCGGACGCTCAATACGATGGAATAAATCTGCATAGCAAGCTGCAGTTCAATGGTATTTCATAGTTAAACACTTTACATGGAGGCTTAACACTTTGTGGGGCGGCGGGG